CATGTCCGCACTCACACCTGGGCTCTCCATCCTGCCAGACAACACAGGTCATAAGCATTATTTTACATGTAGACCAACTGCAGTCAGTTAAAATGGGCAATAGCCTATCACTGCAAGTAATTTAAAATTAAGAGAACAAATCAAAAAGTGTGCTATCACCAAAAAGCATGAAAATGTAAAGACTGTGTTGATGGTCTTGATGGTCTCTATAAGAGAAAATAAATAAATAATTTTTTATTAAAAATATTATTTATTTATGGGAAATCTCAGACGAACACACATCATGAATTGGCATGCAAATAGCTCTTGGGCCTAAACAATGTGAAATTATACAACAGGCCTGACTTACAAATAAAATTAAATAAAATAAAAATGGAAAAGTAGGCATTTTGTTCAGTCATTTTAACTGTGCTAACCTGCTGACTTTTCAAATCAGAGTCATAATCACTTAGACTTTCTGAACAAATTTAAATTTTGCCGTTTGTCCCATTAGCTCATATTAGAATAAATAGCACACTAAAATATAGCACTAATAAGTGTATAACATGGGTATTGTTAATACTCCTTTCCCTTATCACACAATTACATTATAATAATTTCCCCAAATATAAACAATCTGTAGTTCAAGTTTTTTCTTAAACCTTATTTGTTGATTTGGAAGCTCAGAAATTATTTTAAATTATTAATAGAATATTAATTCTATTAATAGTAACAGAATTAGTTTGAAGTACTGGAATTTATCTTAGTCACAACTGAAATCCACTCAGTGTACAATTCATCAATATACAGTATAAAGTTACAATACAGACAATGAGACATGTCACATACAATATATTACACTATTTAAAATCCACTATTTAAATATAAGACTCAAATAATGTTTCTATTTTAGATTGCTTTCATTTAAATTTTTATGGTTTGTATTTCTCATGAAAATACTTTAGCATGTAAAGGTTGGGAGCATTGACTGTAAGGTCAGTGGTCCTCTCACAGCTTACTGCCTAGTTACTTTTAGATAAAGATGGTGAGTTTTTGCCAGAGAATATTTACCAGAGCACTTGACCTGACTGACACTGAGATTCGCAGGGTCCTTCTTTTCAGTTTTTTTTTCAGAAATCAGGCCCACTCACTCAGTGTTCCTCCCTGCTGTCTCTCAAAGATCCCTTAGGATAGAACAACTATTTAAGGGTTAAGACTATGCTGCTAAGCATCAATAATTCTTTATATTTTACAAGAATAACAGTTAAGAACATATTAAAAGATACAGAACATTTAAAATCCATTGAAGCTGTGCCATTGTACAATCATCTGTCAAGCCCACACACATATAAACACACATGTCCCATATGGCTCCACCTGACCAGGGGAAGGTAATATGGGGATCTCATATGAAATCCTCTTTTCTCACATACACAAATACACATTCGCATTCCCCCTGTTCCAGACGGGCAGCACAGACACACAACCCTTCCCCCGTCCTGAGGTAAAAGACCTCCGACAGCACTTTTACCTTACCTAATCGCTCCCCCTTCCCAGACCCTCTCAGTCCCCACCTCACACTGACCTTCCCAATGGACGAGAGGGCACTTTGCCAGCTGAACCCTGAGAAGGTTTTAGGACGACAGAGAAGCTCAGGAGATTTGTCCATGGACGCTTTCATGTGTGTCCACGTCAGTGGTCGCTGGAGCGCCTCGTATGTGGCCCTGGATGGAGAGAGGGACAGCTGTAGGCAGAGAGGACACATGAGATCAGGCAGAGCAGCTGTAGCCACAGTCAAAGGTGTGCAGGACAACTTTATCTGTTTCAGATGGGGAAACATACGGCCAGAAATGGCCACTCTGCTTCACCTAACAGCATTCAAGTGGCTAATGTGGTCCCAGACTGATAGATGACAAGAAAAGCAGGATCCACCTAGATTAAAGTGTTGACCTACATCGGTTATCTATCTATCCATCCATCCATCCATCCATCCATCCATCTATCTATCTATCTATCTATCTATCCTACCTGCCGGTCTGACTGTTTATCCATCCATCCATCCATCCATCCATCCATCCCTCTCTCTCTCTCTCTCTATCTCTCTCACTATCTATCTATCCTACCTGCCGGTCTGTCTGTTTATCCATCCATCCATCCATCCAACCATCCATCCATCCATCCATCCATCCAACCTACCTATCATCTATCTATCTATCTATCTATCTATCTATCCATTAGAATGTAAAATAATAATATTTGAATTCACTCAATAATTAAATATGTCACACGAGTAAAGGAATATTTATCTGCCCATTTTCAGGCATGCTGACACAAAATATTTAATTATTAAAGGGGTCATATGATGCGATTTCAAGTTTTCCTTTCTCTTTGAAGTGTTACAAGCTCTTGGTGCATAAAGAAGATCTGTAAAGTTGCAAAGACTAAAGTCTCAAATCCAAAGAGATATTCTTTATAAAAGTTAAGAGTCAGCCACGCCTACCTAAAACGGCTC